TTGGTCAAATAACCATCATTCCGATAATTGAGGCCTATAAAGTAGTATTTGATGAGCACTTACATCTCTTTAAAAAGCTGAACAAGCATTTCATTCTCCATTCTTTGAAATAGATTGATACTGATATGCTCTAAGAAGTGAATGTGTTCATCTCAATGAAACGTTTTTGTAACCTCCATATTCCTCGAGCAGTATAACTGAGTTTGCAACCACCATTTCACTAGACAACATGAAATTTGTAACCCTTCAGCGACCAAACAAGTTGTCTAATCCAGTCCAACAGGACTATCTTGGTGGTAACGTCTCTGTCTACGATAATGGTTGGTGTGAGTTTGAGTCTTTGATGGGGCATCAGTTACCTGGGGGTTGTAGATGTGCCTTGCTGACAAGTGTCAGCAAGCACTAAACCTAGATTCAGTGCTCCTCACCAATTACTGCCAATCAGCAAACATCATTTATGAAGATTATACCCTATTTTCAAACTAAATGAGTGTTGTACGTTTTATTCCTTGTCACACCGATGAATAATTGAGTATCTTTAATATTGGGTTACCACGATAGTGCAACTCCACAACTCCCACTTCTTTACGCCAAGTTTCCTGGACATGTAGAGTGAGTTCGATGTATATAATCCTCATTAGTTTTATTTCTTAAATCATATAGAAATCTGCATGAGGCTATGTGTTGGATTAGGCGTGACAGGTGTTACTACCTCACTGAAGGATTCGAACTGTTTAACATCAATTACTTACATACTGATATTGGATATGTTTGTATATAAACGTTTTCTAGGTGCTTTCAGACTTGACTTTAAAAAGTAGTGTTATTTTTCTTTCGAAGTGTTTGACACGAATTATTTGCTTCGCGTAAAACTTGTAGCGATATATTATACAGACATCAATTCTTTATTGTGGAAACTTACACTGTTCGAACCCGATTACTTATTGTGCATCACTTATTTCTGTCGTCAAGGTGAATCACCTCAATGTAGTCGCAGAGAACACGAATTTAAAGTACCCAGTGAAAATGATGGAATGACTTACAAAATACTCTGTTACAACCTGCGTGACAGGTGATTAGGTTGATTTCGATGTTATTCACTCGATTTCGTTTAAATTATGTTTATTCTCCACATTTATCTAGATCGTCGATGTTGTCATCGTGGTCAGTGTTCTGATGCATCACGTAGGTCTTCCAGTTCAGTGAAAAACGGATATTCCAATGTTATCGACATACCTGATTATCCTGTGACAAAATTTCTAGAAGACTTATCGTGTCTCGCTCAAAAAATACCACTTTTTTCTCGAGGCTATTTGTGCTGCTTTCCTGTTACATGCCATGTTAGCTTGTGTCTACGGCCAGATCAGGTATTTCACCATCTCATAGAAGAACACGCTTCTTACGGTGTAGACGTAAGTTGAAACTCGAGCGATGTTTGAATAAATCCAAACCTTTTAGTATCAGATAAACATTTTAATTACTGAAAAATACGACCCATATGTGGTGGTTGTGTGGAGCATTTTTTCATCGATGTAAGTCTGAACATGAAGCGTGAATGTCCAGTGATCTTTACACAGTATTATTGAATCGACATTCAATCACAGTTGGTTTCTAAATGGTTTAATTTAGAATCTGACACAAAAATGGTAATTGATTTTACCAGGATTTTAATTGTGAAAACTTTAAGTATATACGAAGAAGCGAAACAAAACAGAGTAAAAGGGCATTTAAATCTTTTCGTATATACGGTGTGCTTTTTCGTCACATATTTTTCAAGCCTGACGCCATCTGTGTAGTCCATGTTGGTGTGCAGTTTACATATTAAAAAAATACTGTCAACTTTGCTCTTCTATTTAACTTTTCACGGCTGTAAAACATGTGTTCAACCTCCTGATAATTGTTTTTGCAGTATTCGGGATTTTTCTAATTACAGTAATATGCTTGGTTCTCTGTGTGTTTCAAACCCAATCAATGAATCTTAAGATGAAATGACTATAATGAGAACCGATTCTCAGAAAAAAGCTTAATGGAAAATAATGTTTGTCTTTTTTATACCAGCTGAATTCAGAAAGATAACTGTTTTTGAATTATCAGAAAAAAGCAAGAAGGTGGACATCCACATACCAAAATTGATCACAGACACACTGCTCGCGGTCTTGAATTAGAAAAGCAACCTTCTATGGACTGTTGAATAAGTATGAGATTTTTAACTTTAAGCATCATATGAATATCACGCACCTTAAAATAGTTTTTTAACAAAAATTACCAGGTCTTTCGATATGATATTAGGAAGGTTGGTAAGATTATTATTCATCGAACGGAAAAATGTAAAGTAGAAGTGAAGAAATGAGGATTCTGAACAGAACGTGTTGCTTCACTAGCGCCTGAGCTACTTAGTCAAATTGGAAGCATTGAAGATGTCACTAAACATCGTAATGATTTTGCTTGATGAGGCTGACAACTATCATTAAGATTTTTGTGAATAAGGATCAGATTTAGAATTATGAATGACTAGTGATTCAGCTAAGGATGGATTCTGTAGGCATGCCAGTTGACATTGAAATTGACGGGGTGTGCCAGTCAATTTGGATCAGCAGTTAGTTTGAGCCGAATATTTGAAGATTATGAGATAATCGTGCATAAAACTGTCTAGGTTACTACTATCTCCTTTAAATAAACAAGCTGGATAGTGTGTTTATGGATTTAACAGTGTGTACGACAGAATACGAACAAGTAAATAAACAAACATTTCTTTTTTCTTTCTTGGACATAATTTGGGTATTTTCAGTTCTTGCTTGGAATTCGTTTAGGTTGCTGATCTGTGCTACCTATCTTTTCTATTATAGATCATCAAGACCAATAGCTTTGTGGTAAGGATGTACCTGATTTGGGCTAATCTGTAGATTCTATCCGGTGCTAACTGAAAAAAAATTTTTATTGTGGAAACTGAACGATCACCGAATGATGGCATCTTTTTGCACTAAGCTATGAACCACACTCGTTATGTGAGGACTTATGAACTACGTAGTTGCCCAGGCTGAAATAGGTGAAGTGAAGATCGAAATAACCACACATTGTTTGAGAGTCGAGTACTTAAGCCAGTGAGCTACATCTCCATTCATATATATATATATATATATATATATATATATATATTCTGTTTTAAGGTTTATAAAAAGTGCTAAGAAGAAATGCAGTCCTAATTTTTTCCGCATTTCTTTTGTTCTATATAGATTGTGCGCATGAGCAGAAGTGAATGTTCTATTGCTCAAACAAATCCACCGTATAACAAACATTTATCATATAATTTTGCTTTAGTTGAACAATGTCATCCTGGGCAAGAATCTTCATTCAGATCCAGTTCAGAACATCAACCAAAATATCAGCCGTCTTCAAACTTCAGAACATTTTCTGAATCACATTCTATTTCAACCGGCAGCAAAGAACAATCATCTAAATATTCAGCTTTGGGAATAGCTAATGCACATCATATCGTTGAGGACCTAACTAAACTTGATAGAAATTTTCCCATTCCCATTCATTACCACAACCTTATTCAGTTACAGGCATCGTTGTTCCTGATGAAATCAATGAACTTATTCTGATATTAGATCACCAATCGATGGGTCTATTACTAATCGACTACTTCACTTGATTGTATATTTAATTGTTTTAGACTCAAAGCATGAATTCCCCGAGTTCAGACTTGCAAAACTCAATTCAGGTTCTTGTATACAAGTGAGTTTTCTGCTTAGTAGGTGGATAAAGATTACAATTTACTGTTTGTCTGTAACATATTTATTTTCCACAACTACACAGAAACGTATATTTTTCGCTCCTTCTATCTAGGTACAATTAAGTGGTTATCGAGATTATCTTCTCCAGTTTTATCTTTCATTACTGAATGAGACTAGTACAAACTTCATTTCTTTCACAAAAAATTGATTGTTGATCACCAGTTTACTCTACTTGGGAAACATACTTGTGTATGCAATACTGCGACTGTGCGAAACGGCATACCTGAGTAAATCATAAGTATGGTTTCTTCATAATTTTGCGTCTACTCAGAAAAGTATTCAAGATAAAGGGGGTTAAAATTGGCTTAAAATCGTCAGCGAGGTAAAGTGCTTTCTCAAGGTTTCAGGTAATTAACGTCATCGTTGACATGGTAATTGACCAGCACAAACCTAAATAGACGTTTTTACTCATGTAACTTCAGTTTGCCTATCATCACTTTCTTATTCTGCATTAATGCTGAATAATTTCTATATATCGCGCCATGCAATCTAGTCCGCTAAACATAAGCCCTAATGGAGATACAAGGCTGAAAGCAGAAAATGATTAGTAAAGAAAAGGTAGTCGTTATAAAGAATAACAAATTCATTCACTCTGTGTTTCACGCATGATTTTTCTCCCCTTATCTGCATGCGAAGGTCGAATAGTACATTATTCGAGTCCTGCCATGCATCATTTACGTTAATCTAACTTGTTTCTCTTTGTAGTTACATCAAAATACCTGGCAACTCAAACCAGTTTGATTTATATCAAACTCATTTGTTGAGCAATACGAATGACAAGAGTTGTCAGAGTAACAAAATGCATGGATAAACATAGATCAGTTTTATGGGGCTGCTCATTTATCTGGATTTCTGAAACTTGTAGGCTGGCTATTACCATTAATAATCAATTTTTAAGCTAACTGACCTTCGCAAACTAGCTGGCACTTAGCATTTATTTCACAGTATTCTTTTATTCTGCTCAGGCCTTTAGCTCCCATTATTTGTTTTTATTTGGATCACTGTTTAATCATCTATTTGGTTGTGGTTACTTTATTGAACATCGCTTCTTCTCGAACTGATATGACTTATATGATGTTCGAGATAATTGTAAAAGCAAAAGAATGTATCTGGCTGTTGTATTCCGGTAGCACGTTTACTTATTATATGTTGACATAAACAGTCAAAAAGCATTGTGACCTACTATATTCTGAGTGAAAATAATATAACGCTTCATTAAAGAAGCGGGAACACCATTTCATTTGCTTCTCGTTAGATAATCTCTTCGCTGTAATTCGATTAGTTCGACTGTAATAGCATAGAACTATGAACTATGTTATAGGTATTCAAATACCGATTTGCAGACCGCAGTTTCATGCAAATTTCATCATCTTCAACCTGAAAAAACTGATCAGTAAGCCTTGAAATATTGAGTCTAGTTCATAGAATAGGACATAAATCTGTAACAGGTTTTTGGGTTGCATTACGCGTTAACCGACTCGAAATGGAAATGATGAATCTCGTCACTTATTGACTGAGAGTCATCCAGGTAGATAGCACGATCAGTTCAGTTAAAGTTTTTTAGGAAGATTATGTATTCACGGCACTGTCATCAGTATCATCCCTGAATCTTACTGTGTTTATGTTTCATATCAATATAATTTCATTTCAGCAGATAAAGAGAAAGCTGTGAGTGGGACTTGCCTTCTGAAACAGTGATAAAAAGTGCATGTTTGTTAATCTAGTTGGGTTTATTCTGGATACCCGAACCAAGTGAAGAACTGCTGGTGGTCAGATGAAATAATATGCAGTTTTGAGCCTGTTTCCCCATACTTTGATGATAATGAAGACAATCAGCATTTGAAAAATGTTTCACAAAATAGAACCACTTGGCAAAGTACTTCTGAAAGATTCCTGTTCATCATCAGATGATAACATTTATTAGCCAGTGTTAACATCTAAACCATGTCCCATACACAAACTCGCACCTTTAAAAAAAGTTACTTGCTAACATGAGTTAGTCAATTTGACTAATCCTGTCCTAATATGTAATTAGTTATATATTCTACTTTGTATTCACAGTCGTTTACTTATATCTGTTATGTGTTAGCTGACTTTCTCCGTCTCTCATTACAGAAGCTGGCTATGCATATAAATTTTTTGTCATCCTGTTTATACGGATATACAGTATTCATTATGTTCGTCAATTCAGGTAAACGCATGACCAACTTAATTTGCTTGGTCATGACTATTAGTCCAACCCAAGACACGCGTTTTATTCTACTTGAGACCGATACCTGCTACCTTGATATGGTGGCCGGGCTTGCATATCACAATGATTCAACGAACTACAGTGGCTGGAACGCTTATCCCTTCGACGTCTACCATTCCAGATAGGTCTCTCGGATAGTGGTAGGACGCAATACAGTTACCACTGCAATGTAAAGTACTACACAATGACAGGTGTCTTAGGGCGAGGTTGTACTGCTGACTGGATAAGGCGTGGGAGAAGTAAATTGTTTCCTGTGGATGGTCAGTAGTACCATATTGATGCTGACTTCCTTATGGGAAGTTGGGTTGGAAAGGGTCGGGCCCCAAAGTAGCATAATTCCTTCTGCCTCACGGTCTTCCAGTCCCGGTGGTGGTAGGTTTCTCTATCAGGCATTCAAACAATCAAGTCTCCTACTAACAGTGATCGAAAGACTGTGTATGACAGTCCTTGAGCAGATGGCCATGGACTCTGCGGTCACACAAGTCTTTTTCTTTTTCAGGCATCTCTAGAAGAAATAGTCTTCCACGATGTGAACAGCTGGGAAGTATTAACCTTCCTCATGCATCCAGTAGTAATCAAGACCCAATCAAACATAACCTATCCTCCCTAACTTTGTTTCCTTCTTTGTCTTCACCTACCAATACTAATATTTAGCCTCCTGCGCCGTACCTAACCTCTCCCATATTACTAATGATCAAAGCCATCGAAACCTCATTCCTGATTTCAACTTCGTTACGGATGTTATAATGGACATTACCTTTGATATGTCTGACTTCACAGGTATTGGTTGATCTACTCTCTTGAGGTGATCTGGTTGACTTGGTAGGTTAGGTGAAGTTGACGAAATGTGGAGTCTTCAGAAGAGGTTGGGCATAAATTTGTGTATGTTTTGCATTTTGTCTTTGCCAGATGTAAGATGATGCTTCATCAGTAATGATCTACAACCACCGACCGATAGCTGCTACCTTGACGTGGTGGTCGGGCTTGCATATCACAATGACCCAACGAGCTATGCTGGTGGAACGCTTGTTCCCTCGAGGTCCTACCATACCAGAAAGGTCTGTTGGGTAGTGGTTAGACGAAAAGCAGTTACCGTTATAGTGTAAATTGCTACACTATGATGGGGGTCTGAGGGCGAAGTCGTACTGCTGCTAGCTGGATGGGGTGTGACAGCAGTAAGGTGTTTCCCTTGGATGACCAGCAGTGCCATGCTGATGCTGCCTTCTCAGTGGAAGGGGGGGTTAGAAAAGGTCGGCCCCAAAAATAACACACTCCACCACGCCCCACGGTCTGCCGGGCCGGCGGTGTTGGTTCACTTGTCGTTTCCTTTCGACCATCCGGCCCCAAAAATACAAAAGTTCAAAATAATCATACTCAAAAGGCTGGGTGTGACAGGCCTCAAGCAGATGTCCGATGGGCTCTGCGGTCACACAAATCTCTTTCAGGTACCTTAAGAAGAAATAGCCTTCCACGGTGTGGGCAGCCGGGAAGTGTCAACCGCCCTCACAACTCTGTCAGCACCCAAGTTTCTTCTGACTGCTATCCACCTCACTCATCATTACCTTCTAATCTTCCTTCACGTCTCTTAATTAATGATGCTGCATCATCTTCAATTTCTCCTACCTCTGCAGCCTTCGACAACGATCTGAGTCCACAGAACAGCATCCCTGGTCTCCTTAAACCACGCTCCAAATTACATATTGGAGCCTTCAATGTCCACACACTCCGTCAAATTGGTCAACAGGCTTCGTTAGCAAAGACTCTAGCAACTGGGGCATGGATGTGTGCTGTGTTTGTGAGACACGCATACAGGACCCAAGTGTGGTTATTCACCTGACCTCTCCTGACCAATCTGGTGAACCTGTAAAATTCACTCTTCGAGTTTCTGGAGATTCGATAGCTAGCTCTCGCGGTCTTGCAGGTGTAGGTATAGCATTAAGCACTAGGGCAGAAAACTCACTACTAGACTGGATCCCAGTTGATAGTCGCCTCTGCGCTATGAGGCTGAACGGCACAGTGAGAACTAAAAGGAATAGTGAGACTCGCCGTTGTCTCTTTGTAATCTCTGCTTACGCACCCACTGACTTTAGTTCGGATGAAGTGAAGGACGAGTTCTACCATAAACTGTCTAACCTCCTCTCGAAAGCCAAACGTTCGGACGTGGTGGTTGTTGCAGGTGACCTCAACGCACAGGTGGGTAGACTGAGTGAGGCAGAAAGGCACTTAGGTGGCACTTTCAGAATCCCAGCTGAATGACCAGATAACGGTGATCGCCTATTACAACTATGCTCAGATAACCGCCTATTTTTAGCCAGCACCAATTTCAGACATAAAGAAAGGCACTGTCTGACCTGGCGTCCACCGAGCTCAACTCAGCGATGGACACAGATAGACCACATTGCTATTAGTCATCGCTGGAGAGGATCGGTGGAAGACTGCCGCTCCTTCTGGAGTACGTGTTTGGACAGCGATCATGCGTTGGTCCGAGCACGTATATGCCTGCGTCTCAATGGACGTAGAAAAAATTTGGCAACAAAACCACTACGAGTGCTGCTGGACAACGAAAACACCAAAGCCGTGTTCAGTGAGAAGTTGGCTAGGCAGTTATCGGAACAAAATACTGTCACTCATCCAGAAGAAGCTTGGTGCCATCTTCAGTCTACTGTAAAAGCAGCACTGGAGACTGTAACCGACTCCAAAATAATGGCTAAAAAGAGCCAGCAGCTTCTTCCAAACTAATGGATGCACGTGAATGCATCCCTGCAGGCTCTGAGTACAATGAAGAGCTAGCGCAACTTAAAAATAGACTGATAAAAAGTCTGCGCAACGATCGTGAACAGTGGTGGGCAGCGAAGGCTGAAGAGATGGAAAAGGCAGCGGCGATCGCTAATGCAGAAGTCAGGTGTAGAGTTTTGGGGAGTAAAGGTAAGTCAGTTGACGAGGTTGTGAACCTTCATCGACTGAGATGGTTGGGACACGTACTACGTATGCCTAGTCACCGATTGCCCCGTCACACAATATTGGCTGAGGTGGGTCCAGGCTGGGAAAAGGCCCGAGGTGGCCAGACTAAAACATGGCACCAATGTATGAAGTCTTTGACTGTTGGTTTAAGCCATGTAGGACGATGCAGACTAGGTGGTTGGGGTCCGCGGGACAAGAGGAACCAGTGGTTGGAGACCCTAGGTGATATGGCTCAGAACCGATGTCAGTGGCGCAGATGTATACACACATTATCCTCATCTTAACAACGCTATACCGAATCTCACCATTTTGTCACTCCTCTTTCCTTTCTTCTCGTACTTTATATTTCTTTTGACTGCATTCACTTATCTTCATCCTTCGCCTCACTACCTTTCTACTTGATGAACTGACGTGAGGTGTGGCAACTCAGACCGTTAGGCAGTAATGCTTGGTCCTATGTTGATAATGATGATGATGACTGCTAGTGGAAAGCGAAGTGGTGGGCTATGTGAACCACTCCATTAATTTGTGTATTTGCGTGAAACCGAACTGACTGGTTGCCGATGAAATCTTTATTGGGATCGAGAAGGCTTATTTTGCATTTGTCAACCGACTTGCGTCATGTGTGTGGGGCCGACTGTCGAGATATCCTACTGTGTATCAAAGGAGGAGTATATTGGGCTGCATTCCATTGTGTCCTGTTTTATGGCTGAGATGTGGTTGTTGGAAGTGGTAGATGTTTTGATCAAAGGTGTGTTTGTTGTGTTGCTGGTGTATGGTGGAATGAGGATATTAAGAATGTAGAGGTTAGACGAAGTGTGATGTGCAAGACAAGCAAGTCAGTCGATGATATAATAAACGTAAGTTGTTTGGACATGTGTTGTGCATGCCGAGCCATCACGTACGTTGATGTACGATGCTAGGAGAGGTTTTTTCATGTTGAAATCTGTCTCAGACGGGGGACTAGTCAATGAAGTTTGATTATTGGTGTGAGCAGTGTAGAGATGAGTAGAGTACCTGCCTGGGGTCATCGAGATGATCAGTGGTTGTGGATTCTTGTTGAGATGGCTGAAGGGTGGTTATGTCTGCACGGATGTTTCCACTCTTGGACGTATTTTGAAGCGTGAATGTTTCCACTAACGTTTATCGTCAGATTGTTTCTACTCCCATACTTCCTGTCCACTTTGATATAGGTCTTTTTCCGCCATTTGTTATTTGCATGGTGAAGTGTGACAACTTGAAAGGATACACTTCTTTGTGGTGTTGTTCGTTGATTTAGTCTATATGAGACTTGTCCACTAGCTGCACCTGTGTCACAATGAGTGATTTTTATATTACGCATCGCTTCTAATGCCAGGGTATCATCCTCTGGACTGATAAGTCACAAGAGCCGCTTCTAGTGCGATAGGTATACATTTGGTACTGTTGCTTGCAATTTCCTATCGTTTATCGGACCGAATTGAATGGGAGCACTTGGTGTTAGGGCTTATACGCGAATGCCCTAACATTGGAGGTGGCCCTCAGTGGATTCGAGCACGCGTGTTTCATTTTTTTTGGGACTTATCAGCTAGCATACCTGTCTTCTACTGAGATCCAACCCAAGAACTCATCGCTCTAAACACCAGGGGGCTATCCACTAACCTACTGATTCACCATAGTCACTTATTTCACAGTGAGTCTCATTCGTTTATTCATTCATCGATAAATAGTTCATTTTATCGAAAATTGTTTGAGCTCATCTATACTTGTTAATTTAAGATACAATGCATCCCATATTTACGTGACCGGTCCAGTGACTTGATCTTTCGTTACATTGTAGCTGGAACACTTATTTTAAAACTAATGTAAAGCGGTATCATCTATGGCTGACTAATAGCATCATCTGTTAATTTCATCCGATAATGACTGGGTTTCTTTTGTGATGGCATTTTTATGCGATCCCAAGTCAGGAACAAGTGGTTGCCTAAAGTTTAATATATCATATCGGTACTACGGTTTATTAAGTCAATCTTCATTCATATTTGTCATAATTGTATCTCCATTGAATTGCTTGATTTACTTGTATACTGTAAAAAATTTCAATTCTCAAGTGTCCAGTTGATTGGCCAGCTGTTCCTCCATGTTTGGACCCCTGTTCATTTTCCCATCAGTTACATTCGTTTCATCGAAGTCCTAAATCATTTGGTATTGAGGATACGGATATATCAAGTTTGATAGCAGAACCATTTTTTCAGAACTTTAGTATACCCTTGACAACCAATAATAGCGATCAAAAAATCTCGAAGCATTCTGAAAATACTTCCGATAATGACATACGATGGCATATGTCTTATTTGAGCATGTGTCCATCACATCAAGTTCAATTACTCCGTGTACTTAGAATATCTCAGTCGATTCTGGAATCGCGTATTACACAGCTAATTGCTCGTTCTGGTGTAGACTGTCATAAAAACTTGCTCTGGTACAAGCTATTCGATACTAATTCTTCATTGGCCACACAAATTCTCTCAACTAGCGGTCAGTCTTTGTCTCAAAATACTGTTGACTCTAATTGTCAAATGGAAAAGACACCGTCTATTAATTTAGGCGCTAATTCAAATCCGGTAGACAGCTATGTATGTCCTGTTCTCAATCATCAAAGTTTGTCTATGCGTGAAATTGAAGTAAGTGGTTATTAAACTTCCATTTATTATTACCATTATTATTATTATTATTATTATTATTATTATTATTATTATTAGTATTATAATTTTTGCCACAATAACTCTCACATAAGCATATATATATCTTGTGTAGGTGAGCCTATTAGGTTGTGGTAAGTAAGAGAAACAATTATGCCAACTGCATGTTTTTTAAAAATGAAGTGATTTATTTAGACAAAGTTAATTTCATCACACCTTTCTTAAAGACAATAACCACGATAGGATATTATATAGATCGTCAGGTAGCTGGAGTTAGAAGACTCATTCTTTCTCTTCAATAGCGATACTGACGGCAAGTCAACAACTACAAAATATTCATTTACTAGACTAATAAGCCATGTTTGTTAATGGCATTACTACTTCCTTCTGACAGTATCTGATTAGGTGGAACGATACTTGAACTCATCTTAAGAAAGTGGAGTCACACAATCTAGCTTGTTCTTCATGTTGCGTAAAACGTAACAAATTTTGTGTTTCTATCACTGTTATGCTAAAACTGAATACAATTCTAGACTTATGTTGCTGCATCTATACAGTACTAAGCACACTTGTTCCATTAGGATTAACAACAATGTTTGGCTGCTGAAGATAAATTATTACTACTACTATTCGTTTGTGGAAGTCTTTCTTCTTTTGCGACTCATTAGGGATATTCAAATCTCTTAAATTATGACTATTATTATTATTGTCTTAAATCACTGAGATCCAACTCCAAGCATACTAGTTAAAGACCGTATTTAGCTTTAAGACATGAAAAAAATTAACCTCACAAGCATCCATATATACTCAAGTATTCCCCAGATTTACAGCACTATCCAGTTATTCGAGCACTCCTAATTCCTTTCTTAGTATCTGTGAATGCAAAACAGTATATAGCAGTCGTTCACACAGAAAGATCATTTTAATAACAATAATTGCGCATATAATGAATTTCAAACGCTCAACGGGTCGAATAAAGATCACTTTCATCCGAAAGTAGCACCCAACGCCATTTTTGCACCTTTCAGCTGCAGAGAAAGGAGAAAATACACTAGATTATGGGGAAAAACTCGGTACAGGCTACGCATACATTTCTTTCTGGCTATTTTCTGCATGTAAATTGTGTGTGTGCAGTGTGTGTTTAACGATGAAGGGAACCCAATGCTTTAGTTATGAAACTTGACAGTAGAAACAGATGAAAATAGCCTTGTAATTACGTTAGAAAGGCATTTGAAACAGGTTTGTTCACTTCCAAAAACAGCGTAATTTGGTTTCTAGGATTGTATTGTGAAGATGAATCTGCTCAATTTATGTTCTGTGTACAGTAATATTTGCAGTATTAAGTGTTTCTTACTTTCATAGTATCAGCTTGGAATCGACATCTTTCAGATCATATCCTCAATCGTTGCCCGTGAGTTTCCCAACCCTGAATGATCAGCGTGTATTAACAATCAAAATCTAGCTCCAAAGTATCCCTTGTCGATTGATTCATTGACTGCCTTCTGCAATTTATCGGGAAAAACAGTGTACAAAGATATTGAATTACTTTCATTCACATTTCATTCTGTCGATCGACGGAAGTCTATCTTAACTATAACAGATATTGATTATCATCAGGTTATCGATTTTTATATTTGAATGTTCAGTCGAGAAGTAACTCTTTGTTTCTTCGCCCCCCATATCTATCTGTATTACTTGTTTCATTATATGCTTTTTATTTTTTATTTTTAAAAAAAAATATATATATATATATATAAAGGAACTTGTCGATTCTGCACCATTTCAACTGGATATTCTACGTTTGGATCCTCGTCTACATGAATTATTCAAAGTTGGTGCATGTCATTTAAATACTATCAGTGTGCTGTTAAACAGGGAATTTGTTAACTCACAACAAAATAGCCATCATCAAACTGATCAAATGAAAATGAACACTAATCCAAAATTATATAAATGTTCTACATCGGAAACCATATCATGTATCGCCTATAGATTTAGTCATTCCATTGAAGATAAGATGGATAATGGATCAGACGGCCACGGGGAATGTCGTCAATGTCTAAAAAATTATATGGTCCTGCTATCACCGTCTTTCACCGAAGGTCTTATATTTCTTAGCTGGTGTGAGACCAGTGATAACTGCGTTCCCAGTGAAGGTTCTACTGTGCATACAGCAAGTGGATCGTCTACTGTCATCAAAAGTGGTCATATTGATGACCGTCGTGGTAATAAAGACAATTCAGCTACCACTCTGAGCGATACTACACGTATAACAATGGCATGGAACACAAAGAAATACAAAGTATGTGAACATGATTGTTGCTGGTGTTGCTGTGAGATTTTAGCACTTGTAAGGCTTAGTGATAAAATACAAGTTATTTGAACCTTGCTGGGCTAAGCATTTCACTAGGTCTGTCACCTAGATTTGAAGTGACTGGAATTTAAGCAACAAATAGTTACACTTCCATGGCAGGGTCATGGGTGCGCACTGCTGAAGAACCCCATACCAGGACGAAACAGCTGTCCACTGCTCCCAGGTTTCCAGTATTCCTCTAATCGATGTCAGTCCATGATGACTTCCAACCTAAAATCAATTAATAAACCTCCAGATGAAGTGCAAAATAGTTTTGTCGTAAGCTGACTACCGGTTACAGTACATATTGGCTAACAATTATGATACTTCGCCTCCGTCACAATGGAGATTTTTTCTTCCCTATACCTCGATATTTTTTTGTCATGGCCAGCGTCTTGATCACAGATGTCTTCGTAGCATTGCTCACGTCAGGCGGAATCACCGTGTGATCAATATTGAGATCAAGAGAAGGCTACAGGGTATGGCAGGCAATTCGATTGATAAGGTTGTAAACCTTAGTCGACTGAGATGACTTGGACATCCACGGCACGTGCCGAGCAAGCCACCACCTACCTAGACGTGCCATGCTAGAGGAAGTTGGATTAGGTCGGAATAGGGTTCACCGTGGCCGGACCTAGACATGGCACTAGTAGATGTAGTCTTTTTTATTGATGGTCTGAAGCGCAAATTGCCCTGGCTGCCAGTCTCCAAGACGAAAGGAGTCATTGGTTGAGAAATCTTGGTGACATGGCTGAAAATCGGTCACATTGGCGCAGATGTATTCACACCTTGACATCTAAAGCTTGCATATTTCCACTGACCGTCATCTTTAGATTGTTTATTCTCTCACACTACTTTATCTTGTTTGATATCACTCTTTTCTTATCCTCCTGTTCTTTATGTACTACTGTGAAGTGTAGCAACTTTAACCGATACACCTGTGGGCGACGTTTTACGTTGATTTCGTTAGTCAGTGTCAGGCATCATGATAGTCACAAAGTTTATCAACCAATTATTGTTCTGTTTAGCTTGTTCAGTACATACTGCAAATAATTATATATGTGATCTTATCGCCTAACTGGTGGGCAGCAAACGAGAAGGTGTATGCTATTAAATGACTGAATTAATCACATGGAATGAGTATACTTTGTATGGCACAAAAGTCCTTATTTTAATAATGGAAATCCATAGGAATTATTTAGTCAATAATATTCTATATTAGATGCAGAGAAAGAAATGTACAACTGAACAACTTGAGTAGGTAGTTAGAAATCACTCAGGTTGATCTGTAGTATTTCTCTAGCCAGCTCAGTGTGATGTAAACACCGGTTCGCTCGTTTGGAGTCGAGCTCCTTAGCGGTGTATCCGCAGAAATTCACCTTATATGGCTGAATTAGTTCAGATAATCTGAATCTGGCTAGCCGACGTGCATAGATCGGTATACCTAAAATAAGATGATTAGTTTGCAAATGATGTACAAGTTGCAAGGTCTCACTTTACATTTCTCTCAGCCGAGTGGGTTTTTTCAACTGTCCAACTATGCTATCAACAGTGTTTCCATTGGAAACCGCTCAGTGGAGATCACAAGGAGTGATCTTTGACACAAAGTGGCATGAACTAATGGAATATGCTATTGAATGGCTCGAGAAGTTAGAAACCACTCAGTTTGATCTGTAGATTAGCGTTTAGATCACTGATCCGGCTGGCTAAATTCGCACAGCAGGCTGAGTGCTTTCCAACTACTCAAATTGTTCAGTAGTATATTTCGTCAGTTCATAACACTTTTATGTCAAAGATTACACCTTGTGGTCTCGGCTGAGCGGTTTCCAACGCAAACTCTGCTGACACCACAGTTGGAATATTGAAAAAACCACCCGGTTTTGAGGACTGTCAAGTTGGACCTTTCAATTTGTACACCGTTTGCAAATCGACCATCCTTTTTTAGTCATTACACTACTTACTTTTCTCAGCAGTATTTAAGTGTTCGGAAGATCTTGTTCCCAAGGTTTTCCATACAAATGCGAAGGAACGTTAGCTTAGAATTAGACTAACAGCTTATAAAACGCATATCCTTCATTGGGATGTAATCCACGCCTCTGAACATAGAGTGCGGATTATGTTAAGGTCAACATGGCTTGTCCATAAGAAAATTTAGGATTGTGTGTGCATGCTAAAATATTGACATTGTTAGCCTTGTAAATTCTTAAATGGTTGAGTGTTTTCTGGTTGTCAGCGTCGCACACTTCTAACGGGTCGCTAAACTAGGGCAAAAGTGATTTCCAGCTTACTTTTCATTGGTTCTCTCCAATTGATGTCAGTCTGTGATGGAAACCACTTTGTTCATTTTGCCGTATTACCAACCAGTCTTGCATTTTTTAATATCTCTTAGTCTAAACTTCATGTTTGTCAAACTATTGAAAACGTGGGTGCACTGGACATCTGTTTTTTCCTAGTTTGTGACTCGAGAATAGAGAATCATTTTCTCAAGAGGCAATCTTCTCCACAACCATCAGGTTTTGGGATGAGCTCGTTATCATTCTGTCACTGAGTCAGATTCCAACAGCCCACATTGTCCTACTTCTATTAATTCTCTGTATAGTGCAACCATTATCCAATGTTATCGTCTAGTTATGTAGCCACATCAGAATTGGTTGACACCATAGGCCACGGTTTCTTATAAGCACTTCAGGAAGTTCATCTTGAGGTATTTCACCAACGAGCGCCGGACAGTAATTTGATTGGTGGTTTTTTGGGGATTGTTTGGTTTCAACGAGGTTCCCATTATCTTTGCCAATTCTGTTTGTCTTCATTCTGATAGACTTTGGTCAAACTTATAATCCTCCGACCTATTATCAGACTATTTTTGTGAGAACGCTCAGAGCACAGTCATAACTCATGATGAAGCAATAACTGCTATTATACTAAATTTGTAGTTAGTGCTTTTTGAACGTCAGTGTACTTACTTTCAGTTTGATAACAAAGCTGTTGAGACATCTTGTGAATAAATTTGTCACCTTTACTCAATTTATAACCCCCCCCCCCCATGTTCTTTTTAGGATAAGTAGTGCAACGTTTAATGTGTCATTTGCCCCATTTATATTTCAATTACCTAGAATTCAAGGTTAAAAACGGGATGTATGATAAACTCCTGTTTGTCAGCTTCGTCTACAATAAAACTGATCGGACAACTACCGAAATTGGTGTGTGCTGGTTAAAATGTTGAAGTTATCATCGTGGAACCTGAGAACTTTGTGTCGGTCAGGAGGATAGCTACAATTGTGTACTAATGAGGTGTTGATGGGTACTCTCTAAATTCATCTCACTGATATTCACTTATGATAAAATCACTTTCAAAATTGACGGTCGTTGAAGTAAAGGCATCTTTTTAGGCGAACCATTATAAGTTCCTGGAATATAATCCATACGAATCCTTTAAGCATCTAGTACCTTTGTTAAACAAATTTACACTTCTATTGTATCTAGCTATTCTCAAAATTGATGTGTTATTGAAAATCATTCTGATAGATGAGACTATTTCTACCGATCCCTTTCTTTTTCTTTCCAGGACTTTCAGTTCCGTGCAGTTTTTCGTGCTGTTGGTGATCCTACTAACCCATCATCAATGCGTAGACTGGTTGATTCTGACATTGAAATACAAAACCTATTCTTTAAGACATCAACATTAGCTTTGGTAGCTACCAATCTTATTGAAAAACTTAGTGTTTTAGTTTGGAGAACACTGCATAATTAAAACATTTTCTGAAGTATGATTTGCTGTGCTTTTTGTATGTGCGTGTGTGGGAATGTTGATAATTTCACTTTCTTATCCTTCCATCACTGACTAGTATAATTTTTTTAAGGCTGTCCACATGTGTTAGTTTCTGTGTCATCAACTAATTTGCCAACTATTCTCTGTTAACTTAGACATGTAGACTAAAAGATTCTATAGGTAATTATGAATTATTTTCTGTTTGTTGTAGTTTTATTTATACTTTGGTAAAAAATAAAAATTGATGTGTTATATGTTTTGTTTTGTTTGCAGATCTCGAGATCCTCAGTATGAATTATATTGACCAGACAGTCTGGGCTTAGTCATCAAACGTGGACAAATTGTTGTGAAACCTTATCCGTACATAAAATATAGAGAATAACGCCTTGAGAGCAGAAATCAAATTAAAAATGGTTGTTACTTAAGCAAGATAAGAATTTTGCTGAATACTATTAAAGTGGGGAATGCAATGTATGACTTGACTCCGAATTAGGGCTATACAAAAGACAAGCATATCAGACCAACAGAGATGGTCAGCATTTAAACAAAAGCGAGAATTGTTGTTATCTCCCTGGTGGCTAGCTGTGGGGTCCAGGACACGCGTTTTATGCTCTTCGGGACTCGTCAGCTGGATGTACCTGCATCCCAGTGAGTGGTGGTGTAGCCATCGCTTCAAACTCCGAAGCGTCATCCACTGGGGCAAGAGATTCTCGTTTGGTCAATTGTCAGACTACCTAGTGGTCGTAATTAACATGCCTAAAAATGTTTAGACTGAAGTTATACATTTTCACCTCTCTATTATTTAACTAGGCGTTGGGAAAATTCTAGTTCTTTGAAGCGCCGAGTACCTACCGCTACATCTCTCTTTGGTGTATTGTATTGTCAAAAGGATTGACTGTTGAAGACAGATGATACAAGAAGCCTACAGGTTTGCGACCATCCGAGCTTTTGAATTGCTACCAACTTCAAATATGTTGAAACCAGGTACAGGATGTATAGCTAAACCTTTGAACCTCAGTACATTCGGAGTCAGCGTCTACCGTCATCTGCTGTTGGTTGACATGCAATTTAATATTGCGAAATTCCGAGGTATCAGACTAAGTTGTATGTTAACCTTCGCACACTCGGATAAAGAGCGACTAAATAACATGAATCCTTTGTATTCTGCAAGACCTGTTTCTGTTTTACTAAAACTACTAGGTTAGTTATTTACTTCAGTTGTACAATCGACTAACTTTAGTTTTAATACTTGTGCATTGTAACGAGATGACTGACTTTGCAGGCCATATTCCTGGCAACTGTTACTTTCGAAGTTAAACGATGTGCAGATTGATAAACTAGTCTGTCGGAATGTGTTGGTTTTCAAACGATATTCATCTTCAGTCAATTGTTCCATTGTTTTCCAACCAAGCAGTCTATGAAAGCCGTTTTTTAATATGTTGTTCATCGCAGACGAACATCGGTTGGAGAACCACTGAAATCCTGTTGGTAGTCAACAGCGAATTCGTTTTATGGGAATCCACAGCCGTACGCTCCAAGCACAGCACCAGGAATCGAACCCAAAGCCTTCAGGTATTGCTGCGAGCACCTTACTGTTGAATCACTGGTCAAAACTAAATAGTCCATGTCTTCCTCGACGCAGTTCATCAGTCATTCAATGCTATCGACGACTATTTTCTCACATTCCAGCTGTTTGAACATTTGAGTCACGGTTACTGATAAGAACCTTTTGAAAATCATGACGAAAAATGTCACCAAGGCTAGGTTCTTGAGTATTGGATAGTGCGCACCCTTCTAACTAATAGTTAACTCGTATACCAGATGCCGCTGACTAAAAAACTTCGAGACAAAAAATAGAGAGAAAGTAGACTGGTCTAGTTGAGAGACTACTACCTGAGATACGATCGAAAATAATCCGAAACACGTGTGTTTATATACATATATGGCCTTGTCCAAAATCTGAACAACTTGTTGAAAGCATGGGTCAACCAATCATCGGATTACCTTGGAAAAGGGGATAAATGAACCATTTGCTGTGACGTAAAAAAGGCACGAAATCGGTAATTCAAAATGTACAAGTGAATAAATTATGTTTTATGTAATTCTGGGTCGTCCTATGGACTAATTAACGCTGGTCTATGCAGCTGTCCGGAGCTCTCCTTTTTTCAGTGCTTGTCTTTGTGATCTGATTCCATGGTAAATGCCATTCTAGAATTCCTGAATCCTCCCAAATCTTCAAACTTCATATTTGCTTATGAGATATTATCTCTTAAGTCTAACCGATGTTTTTCGATATATTTATTATTATGTTGGGATAGTTCGTTCAAGCTGTCAAGTTAGTGATAACGAGCGTGTCGTCCATCTACCTTAACCGATATTAGTAGGTTATAAATAATCTCTGATACATTTTACTAGGTATATTGCTAAGTAAAGGACAAGTATTAAAAACTTTGTTTATTTCATCTTGCTCAACATATGTTGAAATGATTTAATTCCTGACTCCCATGTTTTATCCCCTTTTTATACAGTTTCTATCGGATTGTATGTTGATGAGTTTAGAAAGTCCAAAACCGGTCGAAGCGAGTTATTTATCTTAGGGATTTTTCGTAGCCCATAGAATCAACAGGAGTTAAACTTTTTAGTCTCATTGAAAGCCATGGTGAAGTAGTTAGTTTCTTTTTCATAGGTTGCATCATTTCGTTGGTTTCAGTTTGTCCAACGTGACCGAGCCTTTTTGTGATACTTTTCTTCTCATAGGCACGAGTATCGAGATTTTTTTCGGTTGAGTTTATCACCAATGTGGTGTATTCTTTTATGTGATATGGTGTTAATTATCTTTACTTGACTGCTTTTTTTGTTTTACATTACATTCACCGCCTTTTTAAAGCTACTTCAATCACATGTTAAAGTTCAAAGTTGATAAACGTGGCTAGTTTAAATTAAATTAAAGTTATTCGGAAGGAGAAACACTTCACACAAACAATTTTAAATCAGAAAAATTCACTACCACCTTGCCTATATTAAGATTGTGAAACGTATGTCTAATGTGGTGGTATTATTACTTAGATTTTGTTGAAGCATTCGTTTGGATTCTATAATGTATTATCATTTTAATGTTTGTAGGTAATCGCTCTCTTTATTCTTGATTAAACGGCCAATCGTTGGTTTTATTTCTGTCAGGATTAGTAAAGATACAACTCCTTCACCATTAATAACAGTTGAACGAAACATTTCTTAGTTGCAGGTAACTTTCTCTGAGGAATTTCTTATAACTGAAATGGTGATATGGACAGGCCGGATCGGATTTTAAGGTGACCTGAGAGGAAAAATGAGTGTATGTAGGTGAAGAAGACAAAAAGCAAATAACCGGGCTGTACCCCGTTATGTAGCTTATTTAATAATGTAAACCGATTTACATGAACAGTGATCGAGTTTTAACTGATTAGTATCACAAATATATTGTGTGACGGGTAAAATAACTATACAAACAAGATTAGACAAGGTAATTAAGCACATATATTTGACCTTATTTACGTATCAGTACTATTTTAATTTTGATCACTTCCCTAAAGGTACTCGGACCAGAGTACCTGCCACGCAAAACATTGGAATGCCGAAATTTATACAAATATAACCTTTATCTATTATCAAATTTTCTGTGGGCTCTCAGTGTTTGTCATACTATTAAGTCGATTCCTAGTCATAGTTTATCTGTATAATCCCACCGAAAATTCAATGCACAAAAACAGTTTTTATTATTACTACATTACTAATCTTTCCTAGTTTTGAAACTGCAGCACATTGTTGCTTTTATTTTGAAAACCAATCATAGTCTAGTCCTATCAAGTATTGAATGCCGTAGCTTGTTTCCTACTTGAAGTAGAATTTACTTCGATTAGAAATAATTCCCACTGAGAAATTCAAAAAACAAACTAATTTAGCGAGGAAAATTTTTTTTTTTTGATGAGTCATTTTCAGCGACCGTACAATGGTATTTATAGTAATAACAAAAAAAACCAGATGAGTCTATTATTGGCCAGTGAGTCAACATTAAGTTATCAAAACGCAATCGTCTAAGGTGAAATAGTGGGTTGATTGTAGAGTTAGGATGGGATTGCGCAATCAAGTGTGTATAAGGGAAATATGCAGTAGACTAACGTGATGACTAGTAGGTTAAAAAATAAACAGGTCAAAAATAATACTACCAATTAAAATCGATAATCTAAGTGTTATGAGAATCTTAGTGAGAGATTGGAGTTGACATGTTAAGATGTGGGAAAGTAAACTTCAAAGTAAAAGTAAAAGTTGCAAAAAATTTAAAAATTAATGATCATCAGTCGCCAGAGGAATATTGATGTAATAAAGAAATTCAAGAAAAGATTATGATCACGGCAAAACAAGAAAATGAACTTACCTCTTCTGTGCATATAGACCCAGTCATAATTGTTGGATTCCCAGTCCTTCTGCTATACATAAATGACGAATTTGTACTGGTTTAGAACCATTTAGTTTGACTTCGTATAGGATTTTGAAAGAAGACTTTGAGGAAGCGACAAGAACAGTGTTGACCAAATGATCCAAGATGGAACTGTTGCTTGACTTGCATTCTCCTCTGGATAGCTACATAGGATAGTGAGCGGATATGCATTTGGTAAAACTGCGCCTTGTACGGCCTACATAACCAGCTCCGGCATCGTTCTCATGAACCGGCTTGTCTATGTTGCAAAGTTATCTTGCGTACTATCAGATAAAAAAGGTTCCATGAGAAACGACTAAGCAGAAGCTGACGAAAATCCCTGAAAAGATGAAAAACGAGTCGATAATTCTTATTTCTTAGCTCGGCCCAGATGTATGTATCCAGGGCCTACACGCATTAAGTTTCTTGTCCAATAATCTATGTTAGCGATGTTGTGTAACTATTTTTCGACTATATTTTTACGCTGTGGTGTAGCCTTTCTACCTACCCAGTCAGTTATTACCAC